AAACCTATACTTCAAGAGATAAAAATAAAATAATAAAAGAGCAAGTCTAAATTAACCATAAAAAATGCCAAAATGGAAATTTTATTAATTTCAGCCAAGATGGCAATTGTTGTCGAATAACGATTACAGAAGATGGTTACAAAAGAGGATCAATCAAAAGGTAAGAGAATTCTTGAGTCGAAGATACTTGGCGTACTGCAGCTCCAACCTCTTCTTGCACCAGGAGTTTTCTTGCACTAGTTTGGCAATTTGAGCGTCGAGGCTTTGGGCCTTCTCAGCGAATTCCAGGCCTTGTTTGATCTCAGTCTGGCTCTCAGTGTCTGAGATGGTCGAAAGAATTTCCTCCTTGAGTACAGTGTTGGCGTTTATCTTCGCCTCTATTTCTGCGATTTGTGCCCGGAAGGAAACATTCTCTCGATCAATGGCATCAACTCTTTCCTGTGCAGACGCTTTTTGTTTCGACAACTCAGCAATTCGAGAAGTCGAATCTGAGACAGCAGTCCACGCAGAGGAGCTTCTACCATACAACACCTCGAGCTGACTGTTAAAACCTCTTTGGCGCCTGTAATCCGCTGAGACCTGATCAATCATAGAGTGTAACTCCATGATCAAGTCTGAGATTTCTGGGGCTACAGCTTCAAAGTCGACAGCATTCAAGACCTCTTTTAAGCACGATGGAGCAGTGGGGTCCCCCTCTAAAGTCTTCATCAAGTCCCTCTTGAAGAACTGGGCCTTAACCTTCGCCAATGCATCATCAAGAGGAGAAGTTTCAGTAGACTTCCCCGACAGGGTAGGAATTTCCTGACTAGTGTCAGACGAACTCTTACTCTCGATGATTGCATTGAGGTAGCTAACAGGATCAGTCTGTTTCAAGAGTTCCAAGTCCTCTTTTGACCTGTGCTTCGAGGAGGTAACCCTTGCAATAGTATTATCTTGGGTTTGAGGTTCTTGAGTGCTAAGTGCCTCGACCGGTTGCTCTTCGACTCTGACTGAGGCAGTACCAGCATCGACTTGTGGTTCTTCGTTAGCATCACCCTGGGGTCCTTCGCCAGCGTCATTTTGTGGCTCTTCGCTAGCGTCACCCTGGTGTCCTTCGCCAGTACCACCTTGGTTCTCTTCGTCGGCATCATTTTGATTTTCTTCGACATCATTGCCTTGGTCCCTTTCTTCTTGATTCTCTTCTGACAAATCCACCACCTGAACCGTTTCTGGCTGTTGTTCCTCCACTGGCTGTTGTTCCTCCACCATAGGTTCTTCTGTTGTTTTCTCCACTGTTTCAGCATTGGCCTCATTCTCAGTATGGGCTTCGTCATTGCCCAAGTCTTTTTCCTGAGGCCTGCTAAGTTCAGCAGATTCCAGCGTTTCTGAGGTCCTTGGTGGAGAACTTTCAGTAGTATCCTGAAAAGGGAAAGAAGACAAATCGTCAGATGTCGAAAGAGACACAATCGAATACGGGTATTTATGCCTAAGTTATAAAAAGGGTCTAAGGGATTACCTGTGGATTAACTTCAGCCCCAGGGCTGGAATTGTCGCTTTCGACAGGCTTGTTAAGAAGAACGTTCAGTTCCTCCTCAGTTGGCTCCTCGATGATCACTGGAGGTGGCCTAGGCTTTCTCACAGCGACCTTTATTCTGACGGTTCGACCTTCAGGAGCAGGAGCAGGAACAGAAGCATCCTTCGTCAACTTTCGCCTTTTTAAGGGGGCAGGAGGGGAATCACTTTCGTCATCACTCCCAGATTCGACCACCAGTCCTGGCCGTTTCTTGGGCGAAGGTGCCTAGAAAACCAATAGGAATTCGATTGGATAATTACATCGAAAATCAAAATCGAAAGCCAGAAGAAAAATGAAGAAAATCTGGTTACCGATATAGGAGGCCTCTTCGAAGAGCCTTCCCCCTGTTGGTTGCCTGTGGCCTTTGCCGGCGCTGTAGTCTTCGCCGGCGGTGGAGGTTTTGTTGAAGGGGCTCCTCCCTGTTGGCCTTCTGTAGCCTTCTTGGCTACAGGCTTTCGAACAACTGAAAGCAAAGGAAAAGTTAACAGGCTAGCAGTCGAAGAGAAAGACAAAAAGTAATGTGAGAACATGAACTTACATTTCTTTACTTTGTCCAACACAAGGACAAAAGACTTCTGCAACTCAGCCATAAAGTCCTTCTCGTCGAAGAAGTACTCAGCATAATAGCTTCTCCACCACTCCTCGAAGGATGGTGAGCAAAGGAAATTGAGCTGGTAGTCAAACAACGAGAGGATTGTTCGACCAGCATATCTTCCGATATGCTTGATGGCAGCTTCTTCTGTATAATCGTTGCAGAAGTACAACATTGACTTTTCTCTTTGAAAAATCGGAGAAGGCAGGGTTTGGATAATACCAAACTGGCGAGATACCAGATTTGGTTGATAGGCAATCAGACTCAAATGAGTCTTTGAGCTCTTGAATCGAAGAGGCATGATCCTTGGTGTAAGGAACGCCTCCCAAAGTATTGTATGCTCATCGACATTGGGACCACTCGACTCCTTTGGATGTGGCCTTGTGAACCATGCTGGCCCCACCCTCCGTTGAGCAAATGGAGCCATAGTTGAAACAAACTCCTTCCTTCGAGCAAACATTAGAACGAAGTTGGTGAAGGTTTGTTGAAACTCCAGGCCATCTTCCACAGGTGTCAGCAGAGCCAGCCTGATTCCTTCGATGCGTCTATTCGCTATCGCTGGAGCTTGTTCATTTATCTGAATCCTCTTGGGCAAGAAAGATTCGAAAGTGGCGTTGAGCCACAGTTGAAGTAGCCAAAAAGGCCCAGCGAGTAGCAAACTGGCCCTGTCCTCGATATGTTTCAGAAGAGTGGCCCCATTGCTGATCGAGTCATAAAGACTGGCCAGAATCAGTTCTGCCAAACAGATGTTTTGGCGGTGATGCAGTTGGGTAGCAAGAGTGACCATCTTTTTGGTCACCTGCAGAGACTTCGAGCAAAACACAAAGCGAGTTAGCCATAAGGCTAGAAACGCTACGTGTTCGACATCCGACACCGCGTCTGTCGACCTGTCGTGATAATGGTTGATAAAAGTGGTGTATGTTGGCTTGGTCTCAGAGAAGCCAATTTGGTCCTCCGACATCTCCTCCGGATCGAAGTAATCTCCGGTTGGTCGAAGGCCAGTAATAGCGGCCACGTCGAAGAGTGTGGGGGTTAGCATCCCACATGGAAGATGAAAAGTAAAATGGGAGTAATCCCAGAACAACAGTGAAGCTATCAGCATCTCTGGGGAGTAGTTCAAACCCGTCTTCGACAGCATCACTAAGTCGAAGATTCCCATATCCTTCCAGATCGAGGTTTGATGTTTCTCCAACTTTGTTAGCCAAGCAACATAATCGGAGGTCAGATTAGGGCAAGACCTGAAGACCCTAACCCCTCTGTTGAAGAAGCGGAGGTCGATTTTTTCACGAGTAGGGTCTTCGTTGTCTTCTGCGTCTTTCTTGGCGCATGCTACTGGCTTGAGTTTCTCGACGATTGGGAAATAGCTCTTGATCTTCAAAGCTTCAGAGATGCTTGGATTCATGGGGCCAGACATTGCGAAGATCTGGTTGGAGTATCCAACCGGGATCATCAAGTGGCGCGAGTAAGCATCGCGAACGGAGATGTCAGAAGGTTCAGGAACCCTTCGTTTGCCTGTAGAGTTTACTACCGGAGCAGTGACGAAGACCTTGGGTTTAACATGTTCAGTTGGTGCGTTAGCACTAGGAGCAGTAGAAGCAGAGGCCATTGTTGAGTTTGAAGATAAAGCGAAAGAGGAAGAGTTTTCTGCAAAGATAGCAAACTTATGTGAAAACAAGGAAGTTTGAAGGCTAGTTGGCGTAAAAAGTCCCACAAGGGGATATTCACTGCTATTTATAGTAGTGGGAAAAATCCCCAATAACGAGGACATTAAATGCCATTTAATGCTGCAAGAGTTAGTGGGACGCGTGGCAGCCCTTTGTTGTTTTGGCCGTTTCTGCAGAAGTGGAGAGACGCAGCGTGCGTCCTCGTTTTTGGGAATTGTCATAATGACAAATTCTGAAATGACGTTTGGTACTGCACGCCGTACTGAAAGTGACGTCCTAGGATCAAATCAATGATGGTTTCTTGGGATTGCCAATAGTTGGTAAAAAGCAACAAAAAGTGCACAAGTTAACTTGTGACTAAGCGTGGAAAGACAGGTGTCGAATGGCGTTTTCAAAGAATGCCTTTTTCTTTCAGAGTCGAAATAAGGCATTCTTGGGGGGCAATTTGTTGGCTCCTAAATTCGACACCTTTGTTTTGATTGATGTCAGCCATTAAAAGCTGAAAGATGCTTTCGACTGGCTAAGTCTGTCGAAGTGCCCGTCGAAAGATGGCAAAATACTTAGAAGATTTCTTCCAAGGAAGAAGGCTGAGTGCCTTCGACGTCGAAGGAGTTTCTCGCCGAAGATGTCTCTTGACGAACGTGTTCGATGGTCCAGAGTGGAGCAGTTTGAAATTCAAGCTTTTTGGAGGGAAAACGGTTTCCAGTAGTTACTACGTGCAAACGTGCAAGGATCTGGAGCGTCAAGCATGGAGAACGTGCCAAGTGGATTGATCTCGAAGCAGTGTAACTGCCCGACGGTTACTTGGAATGTTTTAATATAAATAGGAGTAGACATGTAGTTTCTCGCGTGTGTTCACAATTCTATACAAGGTCACTCATTTAGATTCGAGTACCCAGCGTGTGAGAAAGAATTGTTGAGAAATGTATGTGTGAAACACCAATTTTATCAATTAAAGTCATTTACTTTCCCAGAATTTTACTTGCTTTTCTCTTTACATTTCCTGTCGAACCTTTACCTTAAAGCCTTGTTTATTTTACCAAGTCTTTCCTTTATGCAATTTACTTGAAACCTTTTATTTAAAGCCTTATCCAACTTAATCAAACTTCAAAATCAACCTATGTCCATAGGATCAATCTGATCGATCCTGCGAGTAACCAAATAAGTAACCATTTGGAGGATCAGCGGTTGTTTACCAAAACCCAAGGTAAACAAGTGGGTACTTACCTGTTGCAGCATTCAAACACATTGGCGTTCCGAGACAACTAGCAATTGCAAAGATAATATTAGGACTCCAGTATTCCTGTAGAAAATCGAGAAAACGAACCCAACATTGAACTGTTGTTTGTTTATGGTTATTAGGATTAAAATCAGGAGTCCAAGCAAAAAGTTTGAGAAAACCAGGCTTTAGGCTCCAAGAAAGCACCACACGAACACGTTGGACATCCTCAATAGAAGAAAAAACAAATTCATAGAAACCTCTACCTAAAGAAACAATTCCTCATTTACTTAAAGGCTTCCAAAGATTGTCTAGTTTATCAAGCAAGTCTTGAAGTTTCAGGGGAGGATCTCTTTTAGACAAAATCAACCTTCCATGAAGATAATTTTTGCGTAATTTAAGACTAATCTTGTACTCTTCATCAAAAATTTTGACAACTATGTCTTCTCCTTTCAAACTAGATCTCAGAAAAAGACCATGAGAGATAATAACACATGTCTTACTCAACACTTAAGCAAAAGATTTAGCGCTTGTACCCTTCGCTTTAGGAACCACGACTTCACCTGTGACATCCAAAGATATATCTAATGCAGGTACCGACTTTCCAACATAATTCACAATATTTGCAAATGTCTTTTCAACAGTATGTACAATATTTATAAAATTAGTCAAACACATACACAAAGGAGACCCAACAAGTTCATTCTCATTTAAAAGAGAACCAAAGTATTGTTGTTCTCCCATGAATCCAACTCCAAGGTATAAACAGAAAAATCCACCTAAACCCAAAATGAATTACAAAGCAACAAGAAACAGGAAATCAAACATGTGAATCCAGAATGCTTGAGAAATCCAGGTGCAGTGGTCCGGTCAAATCAGTGCCGATGATGCCTTGAAAAAGGGTGACAACAGTGCTCAGATCCAGATTTTACAACACTACCCTTGAAACGCTGTCAGTCTCTCATGTCCAGAAAAATTATCTCCCGTGTTATTACTGTTTTAGAGAGAAGAATCTTATTAGAACTATTCTCCTAAACAAAGTTCAAGAGCCGTCAACCAAAGAGATACTCTATGTTCTCTCATTTTGAAGCCTTAGATAGTGGGTCTGATTGTTCCGATCTAAGACCGGTCATGAATTTTAATTATTTTAATCTTTTACAAATATAAAAAAATTAAAATAAATAATATTATTAGTTGTTTGCATGCAATGTTTTTTTTAATAGATAGTTGATATTCTTAACATAATTGTTTAAAAGTTTTAATATAACCTTTTTCTAAATAGTAAAAACAAAAACTAAGAAAAGATTAAAGTAACCAAAGTTGTTGCCATTTGGCACGACGCTTAGCCGTTTGCGCGTATAAACATAATCACATTGCTTAGTTGCTTAATCAACTCATCGTGCTGTCAAGTTCCCCCATCACACCACCAACGGTTACTTTAACTTTTTCTTTTTCTTTTCTTTTCCTTTTCACATTTTCTTCTTTTTTTTCTTCTCTTCATTACAAAAAGTTACATTCTTCCAAGTTCATTAATTTCCCACTTCAACAGTTAGTCACTAGTAGTAAACTAATAACTACCCAGAAAATGTTGCTCAAAATGATATAACAAAATGTTACTATTTTCTATCGACGTTGATGTGTAACTGAAAACACCTCAAACTGTCGGCAATTAATTTATTTATTTTTGTTATAAATCGATTATCCTTGGTGCGCATTCCTAGAGCCGAGTCGGGTAGGACTAGCATAGATTATCAGATCGCGTTTAGAGACACTTCAATTTGGTATCAAGTAGAGTTTGTTCGTTTTGATTTAAAGTAAGTCAATGCTGTAATTAATTTTTGATTTTGAGCTCAGTGTTTTAATTGTTGTGAATTTGAGTTTTTATTGATGGAATGTGTGAGTTGTGGTAGGTTTGTTTGTGAGGAGATTCTTGAGGAAGGAGGTTTGTGATTAAGTAGTGAAATGGGGGTTATGTCGAGGCGGGTTGTGCCTGCCTGTGGCAACCTCTGTTGTGTTTGTCCGGCTCTCCGTGCTAGCTCGAGGCATCCCGTGAAGCGTTACAAGAAATTGTTGGCTGATATTTTCCCTCGCAATCAGGTGAGATTTTTGGATTATTTACATTGTTTTGTTTTCGTTTGTTGGTTGTTGTTTCTTGTTTGAGTTGCTGTTTTTGGCAGGAGGCTGAACCCAATGATAGAAAAATTGGAAAGCTATGTGACTATGCATCTAAAAATCCGTTGAGGATTCCTAAGGTAAAAGAAAGGCTTTTGTTGTTTTTGTTCAGATGTGTCATAAGACAAACTATGATTTGGTGGTGAAAATTGAAGTCTCTTAAGAAACTGTTGTTGTATCTCATTAATATGATGATATGGTACAACTATTTTTTGGATCGTCACCTAAGTGCAAAGTTACATTTGTTTGGGGATAAAATCATATTGGCTTCCACCTAAGTTTATTTGGTGTTTTATCTTTGCAGATTACTGATAGCTTGGAGCAAATGTGTTACAAGGATTTGCGTAATGAAGTCTTTGGTTCAGTGAAAGTTGTCTTTTGTATCTACAGGAAACTCTTATCGTCATGTAAGGAGCAGATGTAAGTTTATTGACATATACATAGATATTCATCCTTTCTTACATAACCGCTTCTATTGAGTGGATTTAGTTTTGCCATAAGAAAGTTGAACTCTTTAAATTGAACTACAGTTCTGCATCCATATCAAGTAATTTAATACATCTAATGCTTGTATGTGTTGAGAATTCCCTGGATGTTATTATTTACTATTTATGATCATTTGTTCAGTGATCTGCATATAAGTTTCATTATACATTTTGAGGAGTATAAAAGATATAAAATATGTTGTCCGTAGGAACCTTTATTTTCTTATGATATTGGCACTTTTATATTTTGTTGCAATATAGACAGTACCATAAAGTTGCTGTTCTTCTGTTTTCTATTGCTGGATTGCCACTTTTCTTCTTCTTCTGTTGAATGTGTGATGATATTCAAATATTCCTTCTTAATCTTGTAGGTCACTTTTTGCGGGTAGTTTATTAGAGATTATTCGGACTCTTCTAGAACAAACTCGAATGGATGAAATCAGGATTTTAGGATGCAACACTCTTTCTGATTTTATAGATTGTCAGGTATTTGGTTAATAAACCTCTCTAAATTGTTGAGTTTGATATCCCTGTGTGGTTTCCTTCTATGGATGTTGGGTAGTAAGAGATTTTACCACCCATTTGACGAAAAATTCATTTACTTAAATTTTAACTTTTTGGACTCTGGGTGGGAAGTTAATGGAGATAGTAAAAGTGGATACTCCCTAGCTCAAAAACTGCCGTGGCTTGGTGATAATTACATTCTATAGCTCCATGGCCATGTATATTTTGTCCATATCTTTTTTTTATTGTGAATTGAATACCTTTTTGTGATCCTGATTTTTTTTCTTTCAAAATTTAAAATAGACAGATGGTTCATACATGTTCAACTTAGAGGGTTTTATTCCTAAGCTATGTCAATTGGCTCAAGAAATGGGGGAAGATGAACGCACTCTACGTCTCCGTTCAGCTGGATTACAAGCTCTATCCTATATGGTACTGCTTCTGTGTGTCACTCGTCACATTTTCTGGAAATTATCGGTTATGCATTCCTGTAACTTGATGAACGTGGATTAAGGACTTCACTATTTTTTATTGATCAAATACACACCAGAATCTGCATGCCTTAACTATTATTTTAATGAATATGAACTCACTGAAGAGAAGTAGAATGCAAATGAGAGGTTAAGGATAAACTTATGGTCCTCAGGAACTCTTGTGATTACTGATCGTGTTATCAATAATAGTAGCAATAGTAATAATAATTTTAGTTGTAGAAAGATAGTAAGAGCGATACATCTAAATAATTTGAAATTTATGAACTGGTTAGTAGTTACCTTATTCCTACCACGGTATCATTTTCTCAGCTGAGTTTTAGGTTATTTATACCACATCTCTTGTTGATATCTCTTTGCTCATATGTTTTCTGTGGTTAGGTGCGTTTCATGGGTGAGCAATCACATCTTTCACTGGATTTGGATGAAGTAAGTACTGTTTCCATACTTAAACTATTCTATTCATGTTCAATGATACAAGAAAGGGATGCATTTATTTATGTTTAGTTTGTTATTTATGTTCTTATTTATGTTTCTACTTTTAGCAACAGACAATTTATCTTTCCCATTCTAATTATTTTCTTTTCTTTCTTGTTGGGACTTTTGGTTGGTGGGATCTAACATAGATCATGCTAGTGACTTTAGAGAATTACACGAGTCTTCAATCTAACTCCAATCCCCCCAAAGAACATAAACTGAATTCAATGTCCATGGACCAGTTAGTACATGAATTTCCCAAAGAGGACTGCTCCTCGACAGATATCTCCAAGAAGGATTATTTGTGGCTGACACTCGTGGCAGGGGCTGGGATCGACTCTATGTTGTATGACTTACTACACTCTTCCCCCCTCCTTTATTATGAAGTCAAAGGTCATCATCATTTGAAACAGGTCTTGTGTCTATCACTTTTACAGGGATACTGCTAAAGATCCAGCATATTGGTCAAAGGCTTGCTTATATAATATGGTCAAACTGGCAAAGGAAGCTACAACTTTGCGGCGTGTCCTTGAACCTCTTTTTCATTATTTTGATACTCAAAATCAATGGTCATCTGAAAAAGGAGAAGCTGCCCGTGTTTTGATGTATTTACAATCTATTTTAGAAGATTCAGGTACCCTGCAACATTTAGAGACACAATTTTCTAAATTAGGATATTCTCGAATTTCAGTATATTGATTGTCTTTTTTGCAAACCAGGACATAACTCTTATCTTCTGTTGTCTATTTTGGTCAAGCACTTGGATCACAAGAATGTTTCCAAGCAGCCTATGCTTCAGATTAATATCACTAACACCACAACACAACTTGCACAAAATGTGAAGCAACATGCTTCAGTTGCAATAATTGGTGCAATATCTGACCTTGTTAAACACTTAAGGAAATGCCTACAAAATTTAGTTGCAGCTTCCAATATTGGGAATGACGAGTATAAGTTGAATACTGAACTTCAATCTGCCTTAGAAACATGTATATTACAACTTTCAAACAAGGTATGCATGGCATATTATTTGTTTTTCAAACTTTATATACTGCTTCGACTGTGACATTTTGAGAATAACAGGTTGGGGATGTAGGGTCTGTCCTTGATTTGATGGCTGTGGTATTAGAGAATATCTCAACAACGACCATTGTAGCAAGAACAACCATCTATGCCATTTATCAAACTGTAAAGTTAGTTGCATCCATCCCTAATGTGTCATATCACAAGAAGGCAAGTATTTTTACAATTTTACTTCGACTTAAAATAGGCCTTTCTATATGCTCAGCTCTAGTAAGATAGTATAAACTCTTGTGTTGCATTTGTCCATTCCAGGCTTTTCCTGATGCCTTGTTTCATCAATTGCTCCTGGTGATGGCTCATCCTGACCAAGAAACGCGAATTGGGGCACACTCTGTCTTTTCTACAGTGCTTTCCCCCCACTTAGACCATAAAAAAACGATGGCTCAGAATGTACCAAGTGAGAGCTTGTCCATTCAGCATAAAAGCTTTTTAGGGGCAGATCAGATGAATAGGAAACATATGGAAGGAAGGGCAGTAGTTGATGTCAGCAGTAGGATTCCATACCGTGTTTACAGCTTTTCTGGTGCTCTAA